GTATGAATATAATATACAAGTTTCACTTTTTAAATGGAATTACTGAAATAAATCTACTTTTTCATGATATTCTAATTTTATGACCAGCACCTGTACAGTGTCTTTGTATTTTAGCTCTATAGGTGAATGAATAAGGAAAGTTCAAATAAAATAAAGACTAAAATAAGACTTTAAAGTGTCACCCAGCAGCACCCTTCAGGTGATAATAAGAGTTAGTTTTATGGTTAAATGTCAGATTGTCAGAGTGAAAGTGAAAAACCTGAAAATTACCAGAATGACAGGTTGATCACGAGAGACATGACATAAAGAACATGGAGCAATCAGAAAATGAGAGCYTACAAACATAACATGGATGGAAAGTATGTAATTTTGCACGTGAGACCCCTTACTTCAATCCAATTACATGTCTGTTTTTGTAAACGCGTGAAAACATACAATCCTGGCAGGAAGTGACATTGATAAAGTGGGTTGGTCTTTCCAGGACAGAAATAAATGAGTTCAACCAGCACTGAGATTACGTTCAGACCTTTCTGGTTAGTCGCAGTTTTTCAATACGCCCTCAGGCTCTGGGTGTGTGTCTGTGTGTGCAGAAAAGGGAAGGAAACACAGATTGCAAGGCAAGGTTATGAGGAAACAAGAGAAAGATGTGGCAACTTCAGAAAATGGAAAAAAAGCACATTCGTGATTTTTAATTTTGTACAACCTGTKTGTCTATGGTTGACATTAATACACGCAGATGCATGCACTGCACTGTATGTATCTTTTTACAGTTTTATTACTGCAAAACATGTCTTTTATTCACAACTTCTATCTAATAGAGGCAAGTTTAAACTGCATTTGGAACAACGTGCCAAAAGAAGCTGTTTTTTGATGCACAGCACTGTCCCGACCATCTGGGCCCAGATGAGAGAGCAAAGACGTGTTCAAGCAGACGTCAACAGAGCCAGAAGTCTCAGGATGTTGGCACCACCCTATTTGGCTGTTTTATAGATTGTGTAAAAGTTATTGTTAGTACTTTTCCATTGTCAGTCTTCAACCCGCCCGACCCACTTACACCTGTTTCCTGTTGTCATCAGGCCCAGGTGTCTAATCTATTCATCTATTCATCAGCCCTGTCAGATTGTTCCTCTGCTTCCTCCGGTTCTTTGTTTTTTTATTTATTTGTTTTTTTTTTTTCATATTTGTTTGCTGCCTCTCCAGCTTCTTTTAATTAAATCTACTAAGTTTTTTTTTTTTCGGTTTCTCATGCTTGTCTGCATTTCTGGGTCCTACTCTACAAACATTGACAGGACTTCAGAATTCTGCTGCACTTTTTTTAAAATTATTATTGTTATTATTATTATTTACAGTGTTGTGATTTGTCTCAGTACCTTGTCCCACTGTCTCTCCCGATCCAAAGCTATAATGACCATGGAGGGGTTGGATAAGAAGCCTTGGTTGTTGAACGACAGATCTTTCCTTTCCCACGTCACATTGAGCATGTGCCTGCATCCCAAGCAAAAGCAGAAACATACGCAATCAAGAGATGCAACAAAAACAATTTGTATTCCTACATAAGATCTTCCATATTCATTTGTACTCCTACACAAAGCTCACGTCCTAATTAAGCCTAAAGCTTCCCGGGGAGAGTTTAATTTCATGTCGGAGACAGGAAGTAGCTCATCAGGGGATGATGAGCAACAGGTGATTGGCTGGGCAGCAGGATGTTATTGCTTATCGCTCAAGGTATAAAATCAAGGTAGACTGGGCTGTGCATTAATTCATCCCGAGTGATTTGCATTTCATAACAAATGCAAATGTGTCTCGCTAATGTTTTTTTTCCCTTAAGTCATGATGTTCTAGGCCATTCGAGCAGTCAGAGCTGAAACTGTGCTGTCTTCGGTGGAAGCAACTCATTCTTTTTTCTGTTCAATTTGTCATTTCTTGAGAAGAAACAATCTTTATGATGACATTTTAAACTATAGAACAAGAAAGCTCAATGGTTCTCCATAAAGCAATGTTTCTGCCATCTGACACAAAAATACAGTTCAAGTATTTAGGACTCAGCAGATGAAGGAATGAATAAAGAGCCTGAAAATATGAGCCGTATCTCCAAAAGTGCATATAGTTTTCTTAATTTTTGTTCAAATTAGCAGCGTTGCAATATCGATACTGATGCCAGTATTGGTATCGGGTCCAATACAAGCATTTTTGCAAATACTTGTTCAAAATGCCCTGATATCAGAAACTGATACTGTTTTTTTATTTTATTTTATTTTTTTTGTTTGTTTGTTTTGTTTTTTTGTTTGTTTG